ATTTAACTTTTAACCAATAAGACGTACATAAGACTAGGGATAAAATTATTAAACACTATTGGAATCGTGGACCAACAGTTTCCCATGAGTCCTTAACTCAAGTTTCATTAAGCAAGCATTCTGCTTGTATCTCATAAATAACACCAAAAGCTTTGACAACCATTGATGGCGGAGAGCGGTTGCATTTAACTAGCCATATGCATATGACCCAGCTTTTTCAGAAGAGTTTTCAATTTAATGGAACTGTAATAAAATTATGAAGTGAACCAAGTATATAAGACGTTCGTGGTGACAAAGAAACAATTACTAAACATTGTCGGTCTTCTATACTTTCAGTTTTAATGGTAAAAAAAGTAGTTCTACAAAAATGTGTTCTGCGTCATATTTACCAGAAACTCTGGATTAGCTTCAGTTTATTAAGCAATAAAGATTATTGACAATGATCGAAAAAGTCATATCTTATCATTCTATTATATTTTTGAAATTTTTCTCTGGAATAACTTGACCCACCTTAGTCTATATGTTAAGTACGGGTTTTAATGTGTTAGAAGCGCAAGATATACTTTTTATTTTATTTATATATATTAGTGATATTGTAGTAAGGATATATACAGTAATATATTTATATTATAGATTGGTGAAGAAGATATTATTCAGCTACATTCAGAAATGGCTTATAGTATTCTGTCAATTTAGTCAGAATTTTGGTTTAAACTTTAGCTTCATGGTTAATGTATAGAACTGGCATGTGAAACTCATATAGAGTTTTTTGCACCACAGATGAATTAAAATGTATCCATAAATATGATGTTACAGTATAGAAAGTATTAGAACAGCTTGAATATGAATGAATACAGCTATCTGGAAGGTGAGTTTGGTTTTAATCAATATTCCTAATATATATGTAAACAGTAGGCAACGCTCATATTTGAGAGTGGTAGGAAATTGGCAATTCGGTCTTCGAAGTGAGCAGTTGGAAGTTTATTCTTTTTTGTTACTTATTATATTTTACATACAGAAATATAAAATAGTTTGTCAATAATAAACTCTAATTAACTTTTATATATATATAAATTATTGTTGACCTATTCACTTTATTATATACAATTTCAATTAACTGTAGAATTAAATCCTTTGTAATGTTTTTCGAAATTGTTTGAACTACAACTCTTATCTGACAGATATATTCATTTAATTTCAATTTAATAATTTTCTTTTCCAATGCATATGAGATATGTATGCGTATACATTGATATACTTAAAATACTAGCACAAAACTTCACATTTTTAATATTCTTTTTATTCTTTATTTAAAAATTATAAATAATTAGAAGAACTAACACAAACTCATAAGATAAGTTAAAAGATTTTGGCTTATATATTTGCTTGAATAGTTTTGTCCACTTGCCTATTAATCTTTTCAATAATGGACTCTGTTTCAATGCTAATTTCATTGAGTAACATTTTCCTTTGGTTAGACAAAAGATTCGAAATCTTAGTACTGAAATAACGAAACATAAAACGCACAAATGAAGTTGATCTGTCATTACTTAAATGACGTACATACACTGAATTTATTATAATTACAACAAAAGTAATCTTACAGGACAAAATGACAAGGAAGTGATCAAGTAAAGTATAATTGGCAATCCCCACACGTTCAGACATGACATAACCCAGTAAGTACATCCTACTTTGGAAACAGTAGAACTCCAACATTAATGCTTTATTGTTTTATATGTGATAATAAATGTCGACTAGGATGTCTTGTTGAGATTGTTAGTTGCAAAATGTTGTATCATAGTTACGTCTACGTATTGTCAACAATATGACAAACAGAATTATGCTAAGTTATGAGCAATGAATGGAATGTGAGTACATATTAGATAATGTTTTACATAATTGGGTAAGTAAATGACAAATTGTATATGAACTGCGTACTGTGTATGCCACTAGATGGGTTCTATGTTAACTGGTACAAAATAGTTTAAATATACATAAAATCATGTGATTTCTAAGGGTTTAGTAAACCATAAAAAAATTGAATAATCACTAAGATTATGAGGAATACTCAACGTAGTCAGTGAGATGGGTGGGACTCTGCAGAAACTCCCCAGCTATCAAAGAGTAAAAGCGCCCAGATGCACTAACTTCAAAAAGGCTCAACGTTACAATACATTACATTACATTACATTACAATTGCGTTAGATATGAAATTTTAATTGAAGTGATATATTTAAGTTTGTAGTCCCACATTACAGAAGTCCTTGTTATCCAATTTTTTTTCGTTTTAATGCGGTGCCAATTTTTTCCACACAAGAAAAACTTTCTTAATCGCGCATTCTCATTCATCTGGATTTGAACGCAAAATTAGCGTAGCTAAAATTGATGCGCAAGCTTCCATAAAAGAGAGATTAATAAGGTACTTTGTTTTAGTCCGTGACGAATGGGTACTGTTTTAGTTCAATACCATATTATATAGCTGGCATTAAAAATATAGTTCAATGAATGCTGAACATTAAGAATTATGCCTTCTCACAACTAGCTCAGCGTTGAATGAATTTACAAGAGCTACTTGAGGGACATTTAACCAAAGATCTGAGGTTTATGGACTGCTTAAATGGCAATTAGAAACTCTACTCACACAAGTAGACTTTATGAATGGTCCCATTCTACGTTTACACAAGAAGAGTAGCTTGGGTGCTTACTAAGAGATGTCTCGCTAAAACGTTTGATTTATTGCTAGGACTAATGCAGTCAATCAGTTGACTATTGTGATAACCCTTTAAACATAAGAAATTAAAAGTAACAAAAAGGAATGTATAACTTAATTAAAGAATAATCTGTTCTTCCTCGAATGAAGTTCCTAAATTGAAGTATTATCTGCTCTTCCTCGAATGAAGTTTTTTGTATATAAAATTTTTTGAATAAATTGAATATTTTCTTTAAAATTTTTCTTTACAATATTCACTAGTAGTTTAAGTTACCAAGACATTAAATTATGACAGCTTAATTTTGCCTTTAAATCGATAAAGGTTTTCGCATGCTCCGATGTATTGCCATGCGAATCCAGTATTTATATAAACACGCCCAACAAATTAAACATGCGACAATGTTAAATACTTAAGTATACCTTGTGTGGAATCATGCACTCCCACCAACTCTTAACACCCAGTTAAGTAGTTTTATAATGTTTGTGTCGTTTGTGTCCTGCGTATCCTTTCATTAAATTCACGTCATATTACAATTCGTTTCGGTCGCCTTCAGAATTGGACGCTTCATACATGTAAAAGCCATAAATCACATCAGGAAAAAATCAGTTTTATTGTGCAAGAACATTATTGATTTCATTGATAAATTATTACTTTCGGTGAAAAATTTTCATTCGACACCTGCTGCCATCAGAAATTATTCATAATTGATTTTCATTCGTGTTTGAATTTAATAACAATTCAATATGCATTTTTTCCCCTTATAATTTGTTTGCATTAAAAATGAAATCAAAATGCAATCAGTGCGGTATGTCATGTAAAATGTGATACAGGGTGATTGCAGTAATGACCGCAGCTAATTATAACCTCTTATGAATATTAACATGTCGTAAATACCGTAAATTTATTATATGCTTCCATATCTGGAAGGGATCACTAATATTAGTAATAAATTCTAATCCATTATTCTTCGGATTTGTTGAAAACTCTACAAATATGTTGACCCAACCATATATCAAATGCAAAACTTTTGCTCCAAATAAATGGAATTGGATTGGGGATACAATCCGACGACTAGATAAATATATTCCACGACAAGCTTTGACGTGGAACCCACAAGGCAGCAGACGCTCTGGTGCACCAGTTTCAATTAGGAGAATGCCAACTAAAATAGATATAACAGAAGTGTACTAGACATGGAACGATACATGCAAAGAAACACCTAACAGATTGCAGTTTAAGAGCATCGTTGCGACTCTGTACATTTAACGTATATTCAGATACATTTAACGTATATTAAAATAGTAAATTTTACTGTCACCAACAAAAGCACGAAATGTCAGTACGGCTACTCAAAAAAAAATTTAAGAATGATTAAAAGTATCTTATTAAAATGTAGCAGCTTTTCTTATAAGATAATAGAGGAGACGTAATTATATTGATCTTTTCTTAGAAAAAAACATCAACAGATATATTTAATGCATAACTAAACTACCGGAATTTGATACTAGATGGCCACATTACTATTTTGAATTTGAATTTGATGGCTTTTCAAAATAAATTTTTAATTGAGTTTTTAAAAAATAGCCAAAAAGAAGACTTACATTATATATAGTGAAAATATGTATAGTGTTTTAAGTGTTTTCAAGACTTCAAAAGTGGAGACTTTTTTATTAAAGAAAAAAACTTCTCAGGTAATCAAAAAAATTATAAAATGCCTGTCAAACTCCAAATAAATTTATGAAGTGTACCACAAGAATCAACTTTTAGGCGCTTAAAATTTTACAGATACCTTTAAAAAGTATGCCTCTATATCTCTGGCAATTTGAGTGCTAGACCAGTCAAAATCGGAAACCCTTCAAAGACAATTTTGCACATCTAAAATATTATTTGGACAACAAATTTAAATGGCATTTTTAGATAGAATTGTATGTAAGTACATTTAGTCTTATCGTCAGATGACGTATACGTCATTGTATATGTCAATGACGGATACTTCACTGTATGTTAAGAACTATAATAAATCGGAAGCACTACAATTAGAAACTCTTAATTCAAAAAGGGCTATTAAAAAATAATTGATTATTATTAATTCAAATTTGGAGAAGCTTTATTTGCCGTAAAATGCTATTCTTTGGCAAATCAAAGCAAGCGTTGCCAACATTTAAAAAAATTATTTTTTAAATAATTAAATATTAAATTTATATTCACAAAAATTTCGGTAAATGTTGTTTCAAAATTTTTCGGCATTTTTGTTTTGGTTCTATTTACATAAAATTCTAAATTTCCATAATTTCTTTTCCCGTTATATTTTTTAATAATTGAAGTTCTAAAAATAAGATGCCTAAAAAAATAATCAACAAAGCGTGTCAGTTGGGAAGTACATTATTAGGTGGGAAGCGGTGGGGTCAATCAAACGGTGTAATGGAACAGCTACAAGTTTTAGCCAAAAGTAAGGAGGTAGCTGAACGTTCATTGAAACTACGCAATATGAGAATGATGCGAGTAGACTTCCATTCCCCACTAAAAACATATGAACATTCACGTTTAGATAGTGAGTATATGAAGATACCGGATATGTCGAAAAAAGTTCCAGAAACAAGGACTCATATTACTATGCGCGAAGCTAGGAATGCAATGAAAATAATGCATTGCAATGCAAATCGGCGTAAACGTAAATGTTCACCTACTTCCAGCAAAACTGTGGTCAAGAAAGTTTTAAAAGCTTCCGAGCCTCCAGCGAAAGAGTTTTATGTTAATTTGAACAGAATGGATGATATACATCCGAGAAAGAGCAATGTAGGTAGCACAACATCATTAGCGGCTTGTGTTAAAACCAATACGAAATCTTTGGAGAATATATATCCAATACCAGATCACATTCCTTCAGGATCTGTCAACAAAACGTTATGTAGAAAATATACAGCAGGTGTAAACAGTATGGAAGCAACGAAAAGTATCAATTATCCAATGAATGAATACATTTCGAAATATAACAAATCTGATGATTTACCTTTGTTGATAGATCAATTTCGAATTAGTTGGATTGAAAAGAGTAAAAAGATGCAAAGAAAAAATGATTTTACAAAGCCTTCAGTGCCAAATATATCACCAACTAAAGCTGTTAGGCTTTCAGTGCCAAATATATCACAAAATAAAGCTTTTAAGCTTTCAGTGCCAAATATATCGCCAACTAAAGCTGTTAATCCAACGATTAAAACGGAAGCACAAAGTTCCAAAAAGGTGAAACAACTTGCAGATGAGGAGGACTCTGCTGATGATGAGGAAATAATTGAAGTTGAAGTTGACAAAAAGAAAGGAAACGATTTAATGGCAAAATATATGGGAAAACATTGCAAACAATTGCAAATGAGATACCCTTTCACATCTGCAACGGCTAAAGCCCAACAGGAAAATCAGACAAGGAATTATTTAGCGACTCCTTTTATTGGAAAATGTCAATTTATAACAACCAATAAAAGTCAAAAACCAATTAATTGCCGATGTCACCACTGTTGTCTGATGGAAAAACTAAAGCGTAACGATTCAGGTCGTTGAATTTCGATGCCATTAAAACTAATGGATATATGACTTGACTTTATAATATTGCTCTGCATATATAGCACATTCTAGCAAAGTGCAAAGATGTCAGCAAGGTAAGTTTAGCTTAGATTAAAATTCAAAGAAATATTAACACTAATAATATCAGTTTGTATGTAGAAATTTTTGCAGTCCTGTAGAAAATCGTCGGAAATTGTGCCGTCCTCATTGGAGGGTCCGAACGGTATGATCTTTTATGAATATATAATTATTGCATGGTTCTCTCTATGTTGTTACAGTAAGTTTATCTCCGTTTATTTTTCGATTGATTATTTTAACGAAATCTGATATCTGTTAGTATGCCAAAAATATGTGATGATAGCTAAGCAACAAATCATTTGACGATATCATAAGAGCGCAGTGATCATTGACAGATGGATATGGATTGCATGGTGTGATTGCTTATGCAACTGTAAGCTCATTGTCAATAAATTTATAAAAAAGATAAAATCTTATCTGTTATAGTACAATTCCAGCAGACCATTTTAACATTTATTGAAAACAGACAAATATTCAACGATGATCTACACCGGAAAAATATATATCTTAAATGTATGTAAGAAATTTTTCAGAAATTTGCCGTTTTGATTATATACATACTTTTATGGACATCTTGTGTTTATGGAGTTAATTTAAATGGTGACTTAATCTTTGAATTATTAATTATTTAGTAATTCCTTTTATAATACTTTTTAGCTCTTGACGAGATTTCTTATAACATGCAATAGAAATAAGCGACGGTATATTGCTAAGAATTGGACAATGAAGACTTCAATACTTAATAAGGAACCTTTCACAATTTTTTAAAATTTAGGCATGTTTTATTTTTAGGACTTCAAACTAGTAAACTAATTAACGTACCTTTACAATAAAAATCTAACGAGACAACAGCAAAAAAAGTATTTCACTTTTTTAATTTTAGAAATAATTTTGTTTAAAACTTTTATTGGCTCAGTAATACATAACTCTTATGATCTCATGAATAAAATCGAAGATCTCCCAAGTCAGAACATGATCATTTATGATCTCATAATTAAAATCGAGGATCTTCCAAGTCAGAACATCAAGGTTTTTGCAACGTAAATCATTGCTTTTTTTGCAAAGATTTCTCTTTAGAGTTCATTTATAAATTTTTAATTTATTTATAAGATTAATTTTATTAACCGTTTTTTGTTAGATTGAGGCTAAATGAATTTATTTGGTCCAGATTAAAATCAAAAATTTTAAGTACTTCAAAACGAATATTATTTAATATTTAATTTTCCTAAAGCAATCATGCGAGTATTTTCTTTCAACTTTCTTTTCCATAGTAGCTCAAACGTCATCATCCGTTAAAGATAGTCTCATATAACAGTATCTGAAACCATCTAAAATTTTATGAAAATAATTTTATACTTTTCTAAGCAAATAATAATTAATTGATTTAAAAGTTTTTACCAGCAATTAGTAGAGGTTGACTGTCCGTCTGCACACAAAGATAAATTCCTCGTTTTCATATTTCCGATATGTTCTAAGCTTATGGCAAAATTGAAGAAAAAAACCTGAATATTTCGGAAAAACAGAGGAAATACAATCTCTCACTGATTGCCCTGAAGTTGTGATATAATTATATTTGAAACTATTTCTAAAATTTAATTGTTGTCTCTGTGGTTTAGTTTTGATTTTTTGTTTTTGAAAATACCGCAAATTGTTTTCTAATCTTTTTCAGCACATTTTTTCAAGATGAAAGAATTTCAAAAATTTAAATCACAATTTGGATTGGATGAGAAAATATTTTAAACGAAATACTTTAGTGGTTTCCGGATGAAACTCAAAACTTTGAGATATATGTTAATAAAAAGTAATAAATATTAGAACTATTTTTTATTTACTAAAGAAAATCTTTAAATTTGACAATCAAACTTTTGGTATTTTATTATTGCACTCTTTCAACTCGTAATACTTGAATATTATGGAAAAGATAAGCACTGGCATCAACGAATAAAATCGGAATTATGAGAGCAATATGGTCTTAACCTTTAAACGAATGTAGCGTTATAAAAAATCGGATTGATTGAAATGTTTTATAAAGGAATTTATTGATCATTTAAAAATTAATATTGTAAATCAAAAAATTATATCAAGAACAGAGCCCTAAAATTATTCACAAAAATTGACAGATTGCCCAACCCCGCCATAATAAACCTTAAGTCCACCTCAGGATGCACAGGAAGATATGCTGATCTACGGTTCATGTGTTATAAGTTAGAAGATAAATAAATGATAATGATTCTAGTATAGTTAAAGTTTAGTGTGGGGCAGGGATAAGCCCCCCAGCCACGAAAGAGTGAAAGTACGCACTAACTTTTACTCTTTATTAATTGCGAGGTTTCTTCAAAACCCCTCTTTGCGCCTTGACTAGATTATTGTTTATCACTTCATCAGACTAAGCAATAATTGATCTCAGATCTGCATACATCCCCGAGGAGCCTGTAAACATTCTGAGATTTGATAACGCGATGTTGGTAAGTCTGTCAGATTTCGCAAATAATTTCAGGGCTCTATCTTTTACGTATTTTTTGATGGAATCAATCCTAGCATAGTTGTTAACCTGCCATATTTTAATGTCGTAGAACTATTCGTTAGTACGATCATTTTTAAATTAATACTGAATTCGATCGATCGACCGGTAAAAACATGGCATGGCTTTTGAGTACTAAATCTCAGTTTATATTATTTTTCATTTTTTTTCCATACAATTGAAAATCTAATAAATATTTTAGGACGGTTTGAACTTCAAAACTCTCTCATAATATGTGTTATTGAGGTCCAGATGCTGCAGTCCGTTTTTCCCTATATGTTTGCCTGGCTATGTATGCAAAGATTAGCTTAGTTTCTAAGATTTTTATAGTGCACCTTCTTATTTATAGTATTTATTTTATGTTTATCCTTTGCTGTACAATAGAAATGGATCAGATAAACTTGTGATAATTATCTTGAGTTTTAAGTTTATATATCGTTAGCAATTATTTTTGTTAATTGTCTTAATTTGACTCACTGAACTGGAAACTTAAAGTTTAGGCAAAAAGTATTTTTGCATAAAATATTGTTTCTTTATTGTACTGCGAATTTCATTGTTGCCACACTTTGGCTATACTTTTGTTGGTGTAATACCAAAGTAGTGTGGTCAGTAATGCGAAGATAATGATGCTCTGATGATCAATTCGATAACGACACAGACGACGTGTTGCAAGGTTTTGCCTCTACACCAACGGATTGTACGAGTATAGTTATTTACCTGCTTAATCGTATTCTGCTTAGTTTGCCTACCTCGCCTGCCTTTCGTCCTCATGTGATGGCGAAGTTCACTGGTTTCAAGCCATCGTGGCTCAGGAAGCGTGTTATACTTTGCCACTTTAAGTATATTCGCTTGTCTGACGCGATCTTACAGATCGTTAATTAAAAATCTTTCATGTGTGTAATTTTCATACATATTTGCGCTTATACGTTGCAACGAGCTAATGTGGCCGCCGCTGCACAATTGCTGTTGCAAGTTTTAAATTGGACTTTAATAGCAGGTATTTGAGTTTTATACTCGTATTGTAACATATATGTTATATGCAATAAATGCAACATCAATTTTTTACTCCTTTTTGTTTCCCTTTAATTTTAGTTTTTATGGCCTGCTACTTACATACATATGTACAAGCTCATGTTTAGCTGAGTTGCAGTTCTCATTTGCTTTACTTTAATATTTTGGTTACATTGTCATTATTGTTGATACACAATGTTGCAATAAGCCATTTAGGCTGATAGCATTTTATACTTTATTATTGTCTTATTATGAAACAATTTCCTTCGGTTTGCAGTTTACTTCGGATAATTAAAATTTACGCCGACTTCCAAGTAAATCGACCGTAAGTCATTTATGCATTTAATTTTGTAATTGGCAGTTGATACTTCAAAAAGGGAAAGCGTAAGTCATTAATTAGTTATAGCAATTGAAAATAACAAGACACAATATGTTAATAAGATGATAAATGTGAATAGTTTCACAGACTGTAAGTACTAATTCGAAATATGCTTTCATTTCTGCCTTACCAATTAATTTGCAATATATGCGGAAACATTAGAGCCATTATAAAAATTGCATGTAATCACAACTAATTGCGAAGTTACTATTTAGTACTTTAAAATAAAAAAACAATCCATTTAGTATATTAACTTATATAAATAGGTGTAAATGATTAAATTTCCTTCTCTACAACGTTTCTCAAATAATTCGCATTAATTACCACTTCCTATCTTTCAAAAAGATATCTCACCATCCGCTACAAAATTTAAGCATACATAATTCCTTCGGTTTCATTTCTATACTGATATGCTTTGAACCTCCCAGTTTCTCTCCTTTTATTTTAAAAAGAGACCGAAAATACTCTGAATTCCATTCTACTCCAGAACCACGACGGTAAGGATCTTGATAATAGAGTCTTTGTTTAGCTTTTAGTACCTATGTTGAACCTTTTCCGAGTTAGTGCTTCTGGGAACTTTTACTTTATGATGGCTGGGAGGTTTCTGCAGAGTCCCACCCATCTCACTGACTAATTTGAGTATTCCTCATAATCTTCGTGATTATTCAAGGATTGATCTAAGATCTGCCTACTGCCCCGTGCGGTTAGTTTTTCTTTTTTTTTTTTTTATTATTTGAAACACAATATGTACAATCATATAAATACATGTTTCATTTGACTACGACTAGTTCATACAAAGAACTATCAAGCAGTTTTGTTTCATTTCAGAATACTTATTAGAATTATCAAGTTGTCAAAGACTTAGTGCTAATAGTAGTAATCTAAATTATTATTAGACTACTAATTCGGGAGTAGATCTGAAGGCTTTGTTCGTTTAAGTCTTCTCAGCAGGCCAGATGTATTAGACAGATGGTTGATTGTCTCGTTTGGATGTTGTTGTAATCGTTTTTGGTGCTTTACCGCGAACTTTTGAAATACTGCAACCACAGATTCGATCTTCAAGTCCCGATGGAGGTCAGTATTCCTAATAAACCATGGACCATTAATTAAATTTCTTAAAACTTTGTTTTGAAAGTTTTGAATGATTTGAATAGAGGATTTTGGTGCACATCCCCATAACTGAATTCCATACGTCCACATCGGAGTTAAGACTTGCTTGTATATCAACCACTAACCGTGCAGTTAGTGATAACTCTGAGATTAGATAGTTCTAAGTACGGCGGTCGGTAAGTTCTAATGATTAATTTTAATTCTAATAATTCTGCATAGCTTTTAGTACTAAACTTCACTACTTAGTTCTAATGATTGATTCTAATGCTTTTAGTACTAAATGTGATCATTTAGTTATAATGGTTTGCTATTTGTTTTGGCACTCTCAGTTTCTCTTTTTTTATATTAAAGATGCTAAAAACACTTTTAAAACATTAAAAACTTTCATTTCACTCCACAACTGTGCCTTTATAGATCTTGACTTAGTCTTCTTATAGCTTTTAGTACTAAACTTCATTACTAAGTTCAAATCAACTTATTTATAAATGACAGGTGAACAAGATAAAAATAAAACGTTTACTCATGCTGATATGAAATACCAACGATATATTAATATAATTCAGGATATTTATACCTCGTAGTTAGTTAAATAAAAGCAAAGCAGGAAGTCCAATTTCGGAGCAGCAAAGGGTATACTATATATCAGGAATAAGTTCGCGAATATTAGCTTTTGTGTAGTCTAATATCTCTGATTTATTTAT